GCCACCCCCAGCACATGCGGAGGGCGCTCTCCCCAGACCGCTGTGTGGCCTGCGCCTCACTTCCCTTGCCCATGCAAGACACCGTCTCTCCCGAGATCTGGCCGCAGAGCCAGCCCTGGGCACACCGGGGCACACCTGAGCCCTCCCTTCCTTCCCTGTGCTGCCGGCTCCCACCCCTTCCCTCTTCTCTGTACAGCTGCCGCTCTGACACGGGGGAAGGGCCTGGCTCCCGGCCAGCACTCAAAGAGTTCTTGCTGGGTGAATGAATGAATGACAGCACAGGAGCCAGGATTCCAGTTCTGACACAGCCTAGCCGTGCTGTGTGGCCACAGGTTCCTCCGTGCCCCTCTCTGGGCCTCACATCCCAGTTTGCACCACTCAGAGCCCAGCCCTCCGTGCCCAAGCAGCCTCTTGGGTTGGCTGCTCCCCCTGCTGCCCCCACCCCGCGGGTCCCCCTACCTTCTGCAGCCACTGGGTGTTGTTCTCCAACGCCTTCTCCAGCTGCTGCACCCGCTGAGCCCGCCAGTCCCCTGGGGGCAGTGTGCCGGCCGACGTGTCTCTCTGGAGGCTGTTGGAGCCCCCAAAGTCCTCCGGCTCCGGCATGCAGGGCCTGGGCTCAGGCAGCACGAAGGTGTAGGTACACTGGCCATATTGAATACTATGTGACAGGCGGCGCCCGCTCATATCCTGCCACCTCTGTTGGGCTGCAGTCATGGTGGCCACCAGGAGGAGGAGGCTGCCCAGCAGCATGGCAGCCCGGCAAAGCATCTAGACACTTGGTTTTGGCAAGGGGCGTGGGGTCAGAGCCTCCAGGGGCTGTGCCTGCCCGCCACTTGGCCTCGTGCCCAGGACGTCCGGCTACGGCCGGCGGTGGACAGGCGGAGGCGGCTGCAGCTGCAAACCCCGGGTGGCCAAGCTCCGTGCAGGCTGGGGGGCGGGGCTATTTATACTGCTGTAGCGCCCCAGCTGCTCCTCTGGCTGCCTCCTGCCCCCAGAACCCCCTCACCTCTCTCCTTTCCCCCTTTCCTTCCTGTCTTCACTCTGTGGCCTGCACTCGGGCCTGTCCAGGCGCGGCCTGACTCTGGCTGCCCAGTGCTGCGTCCTTTTATTCTCCAGTGGGGGCCTGGCCCTGCGGGAGGGGCGGGAAGAAAACCAGCCCCAGACAGCGAGGAGGCGAGGAGGCCGGAGGAGCACACGCACGCACGCATGCACGCAGGCAAACACCAGCCCTGTGCATTCCCTCCCCACCCCTTCCCTGCCCCCAAGGCAGGGATCTCGAGTTTCAGCCCCTTGGCTCCCCCTCCCCCTCCCCCCTCTGGTTCCAAGTTAGCTGGGAACACAGGCCAAGTGCCCCCCAGAGAGCAAGAGGGAGGGAGGCTAGGAGGAGGCAGCCGACCCAGTGTGCTTCCCAAAGAGACTCAGGTTCTCCAAGGCCTGAGAAGGGGGCGTCCCTCTGGGAGCAGGAGTGGGGGGTGTGTGATGAGCCGCCCTGGGGTGGCCACGGCCTGGTTGCTGGGACACCAGGCTCCAGGCAGACTGTTGGGGGCAGCCTGTGGCTGGGTGGCTGGGAGAAGAGCCTGGGGTGTGGCAGGCTCCCAGCCAGCCCTCCCTGAGGCAAAGGATCCTGGCTCTAAGAACCCCAGGGAACTTGCTGTACCCACAACTATGAAACCTGAGGTCGGGGAGCAGGACAGGAAGGTGATTTTAGCTGAGCTTTATTGAGAGAGCAGAGCCGGGGGGACGGGGGGGGCAGCAGTGGGGGCCACATATGCAGAACAAGACTTTCAGCTGGACAGAGGAAGCCCCTTATCTCAGGAGCTGTCAGGGTTCTTCCTTGTCATCACCCCACTCCGGACACCCATCAGGCCCTACGACTGAACTGGTCACCTGGCCGTTGGCCTCAACCTCGGTACCAGCATCTCTATTCCCTGACTGGTTCACATTTCTTTTAGGTTACAAGGCCTGTTTCCCAGCTACACTGATGAAGTCGATTACTGGCACAGCCCTGGGCCTCGACCTACCTGTCTCTAACTCTTCTCCCCTCTCCCCCACAGCTGGCCTCCCCTCCCTGAGGTATGGACTGGAGTGAGCCCCACTCCGGCACGAGGAATGAGTGCAGGTCCCCAGCATGGGGGCTGAGGGATTTTCAGTTTACTGGGTCAAAATCTGGCGCCACCCCCTACAGCTGGGTGCCTTAGGGAAATGACTGAGCCCCTCGGTGCCTTCATTTCCTCTTTAAACAGGAAAATACCACCACCCCCCTCACAAGGCAGACAGTTAGGTGAGGTCGTGCAGGGGTGTGTGTGTGTGGTTGCAGGGCGAGAGGCACCCAGTAGTGGATCCCCACCCCCACCGCCCGTCCTGGGTGAGCTGTCTGCAGGCTCTGTGGGCTGTGCCAGTCTCGCCTCTCTCTCTCTCTTCATTTCCCCAGCTCTTTGGTTATTTTTTTCTTTGTTTTCCCAGATCCTGCGCTTGGGGGCAGCGGAGGATGAGGGGCTCTTCCGGGGGACTGAGAACAGTCGAGCAGGTGCGAGGCTCTGGCAGGAAGAGGAAGGGGAGCCGGTTCTCAGCCTGGCCCCGCCTCAGTCGCCTCTGCTGAGGATGGGGCCAGACCCCTGGGACCGTAAAGGAAGCGGGGTTAGCGCAGGCTGAGATGTCTACAGTGCCTGGTGCAGGTGAGCGCGGGGTAGGCAGAGGCTGCGCCCTCTATCGCCCCAGGAAGACAGCACTTTAAAAAAAATTTATTTATTTATTTGAAAGGCAGAGTTAGAGAGAGAGAGAGAGAGAGAGAGGTGTCTTCCATCCACTGGTTCATTCCCCAGGTGGTCGCAATGGCTGGAGCTGGGCTGATCCGAAGCCAGGAGTCAGGAGCTTCATCTGGGTCTCCCACATGGGTGCAGGGGCCCAAGGTCTTGGACCATTTTCCACTGCTCTCACAGGTGCAATAGCAGGGACCTGGATAGGAAGTGGAGGAGCCAGGACTCGAACCGGTGCCCAGTGTGGGATGCAGGCCCCTTCTTTACCCATGACACCACAGCGTCGCTCCCTGGAGGAAGCACTTCCATGCTCCCCATTGTACACCCAAGAAAAACGAACCCAGCCCTGCGCTGGACAGTGACCTGCCCACAGTCATGCAGTCTGGACGGATTTGACCTGGAACTGTGGGAAGAACAGAGAAGGGCAGACTCAGCTGCTGGCCGGGCCCCGGGCACATTCCTTGGGGCAGGTTCCTCGGGCATGTTCCTGATCCTCGGCCTCCAGTCAGCCCCTCCGGGCAGTGGGAGAGAACACCTCCCCTCCCATCTTCATGTTCTGCGTCTGTGCCCCGGAGCCTGGGGTGGGGGTAGGGGGGCAGGGAGGAGGCTACTGGGAGACACCGCTGTGGGAAGCTCCCAAGCTCCCAGAGAATGAATGAATGACGTGGTTTTCTTCTTTGCCCACACTCTGCCAAGTAGTCATGGGAGTCAAGGGCCCCATGGTCTCACCAAGGGCACCTGGCACAGAAGAGGAAACGAATTTATCCATCGGCAGGGCAAATGGAGGCGGCATCAAGGAGGGTTCTGTGCCCAGGGCCCCGCCTGCCGGTGCCTTGCCAGCCTCTGCGCCCTCACTTGGGCGCCAGCTCAGGGCCTGTGCGTGTGCTGCTTTCTCTGTCCGGAGCCCGCCTTGCACCCGCCCTCACTGCGCTTCTCAGCAGTGCTCCAGTTACTGATTGCTGCCAAGTCACCCCCAACAGTTAGCGGCTTAAGGCAAAAGGAACCACTCATTATCTCCCAGGGGTTCTGCGCCTCAGGAATCCGGGAGCTGCTCCTGCGGGCAGCTTTGCTCAGGTCTCTCCTGAGGTTGCAGTCAGAAGGTGGCCGGGCTGGGGGCATCCCCAAGGTGTTTTCCCTTGCCTGCCAGCGCCTGGGCATCCCCATGGTCTCCGCAAGTGATCTCCTAGCATGGCGGCCTCAGGTGACATCTCAGGTGGCTTCTCACATGGCCACTCCTGGCCGCAAGGGTGCGCAACCCCAGGGAGCCAAGGGCCTGTCGTGACCTGGCCTGGGAAGTCACTGTGCATTTTCATCACGATCTAGTGGTCAGGGTCTGCCCGGCTTGGAGGCATGAAGCGCAGAGCCTCTCTCTCTCGGGGGAGGAATATCACAGTCATAACAGGGGCACGCAGGGGCTGGCATGTGGCAATGCCGGTTAAACTGCCACCTGCAAAGCCAGCATCCCAGAAGAAAGCCCTTTCAAGCCCTGGCTGCTCTGCTTCCGATCCAGCTCCCTGCTAATGCACCTGTGAAGACAGCGGAAGACGGCCCAACTATTTGGCACCTGCTGCTCACATGGGACACCCAGATGGAGTTCCAGGTTCCTGGTTGTTGCGGCCATTTAGGGAGTCAATCAGTGCATGGGAGCTCTCACCTCTCTCTGTCTCTCCCTCTCTTTCTGTAACTTTATCTTTCAAAGAACTAAGTAAGCAAATCTAAAACCAACCAACCAACCAACCAACCCACCCAGGGTGGGTGCCTCTGGCTCTGCCCAGGCGGGAGAAATTCCATGCCCCTGCCGCTTTCCAGCTTCAGTGTGGCTGACGCCTGCCCACACTGGCTCCTGGGCCCTGGGCTCGTCTTCCATCAGGAGGCCCCCCTGCTCCAGGCTTCTCCCTTGCTGAGAGGCTGAGTCCTGACTGACGACTTTCCCTCTCCACGGGTCCCTGCCCTGAATACACAGTAGGCACCCGGTTAATGCCTCCTGAGTGTAGGGTACCTAAGGGAGTGGCTGCAGCCTGGAGCCAGGTTCCCTCTGTTACTGAGGCTGAGCGGGAGCTGGGGCTGCGGAACCAGGGGAGGCCATTGCCAAAGTCACACCCAGGAATCTGTTCTGAAGAACTGGTCTTATGGCTCTTGGGACTGCAGGGTGGCAAGCAGGCTCATTCCTGCAGGGCCATTTTGGGCTCCTCAAAGGTGTGGGTCCCAAAGCAGAGGTGGCCACGGCCTGGGCCCTCCACTTCCGGTTGTCATCTACACCATCCAGCCCCTCCTCTGGAGCTCAACCCCCAGGTTGACAACTGAGGGTCAATCAGGGAAAGTCCCAGGCTCCTAGGCTGAACTGTTCCTGTCCCTGAGGGCATCGCCTGGCCACCTCCCAGAGGCTCCGATGGCCTGTGGTGAGGCCCTGGCCAGAAGCCACAGGACTGCTGGCCATGTGGGGGATGTCAGTGTCCTCCCAGAGGTCAGGGGTGAAGCTTGTGGGTAAGCATCATGGTGCCCCCATGAGCTTTTCTGCCCCAGACAACAGCTGTTTCTCCCCTGTCCCCTGCAGTGGGTTAAGGCTGTGGCTTGCGAGGTCACCATCCCAGGTTAGAGCTGGAATCCCAGCTGCTCTGCTCCTGATCCGGCTTCCTGCTAATGCGTCTGGGAAGGCAGTGCAAGATGGCCCAAGTGCTTGGGTCCCTGCCATCCAGTTGTGAGACCTGGGTGGAGTTTCTGGCTCCTGGCTTTGGCCTGACCCAGCCCATTTGGAGAATGAACCAGAGGATGGAAGATCTCTGTCTTCTCTGCCTTTTAGATAAATAAACGAGTACATCTTTTTTGTTCTTTGAGGATTCATTTTTCATTTATTTGAAAGGTAATTACTGAGAAAAGAGAAGAGACAGACAGAAGACAGAGAGGAGAGAGAGAGATCTTCTATACACTGGTTCACTCCCCTGAATGGCTGCAGTGGCCGGGGCTGGGCCAGGCCAAAGCCAGGATCCCAGAAGCTTCTTCTGGGTCTCCCACAAGGGTGCAGGGGCCCAAGCTCTTGGGCCATCCTCCGCTGCTTTCCCAGGCATGTTAGCAGGGCGCTGGATCCAAAGTGGAGCAGCTGGGACTCGAACTGGCTCGACCTGGCTTAACCTGCTACGCCACAGCACCGGCCCCAGTCTTTTTTTAAACATATACATCAAAGTGGAAAGAGCAATCCAGCTTGGCAAGGATGGCTGGGGTGTCCTCTGGGTGCCAGGGCTGGGCAGAGCAGTTTCCCAAGACTCTGTGGGTTGGAAGAGGGGCCAGAGCCATCCTACTCACGGAGCTGCAGTTTGGGCCTGGTTCAGTGGGAACGGCTCAACC